AAATAACGGAACTAATAAAAACACAGAAAGACCACATAGTTTAAGTGTTCCTTGGATGAGAGAATACAGGCGTAATAATATACCTTGAATACACCTGAAAGTCACAGATTGTCAGATCATACCGAAGATGAAAGCGTATCATCAAATTTGCTGTAAGTAACCAGCTTACTTACTAGCACTTTCCTAATTGTGACAAGGACTACTAAAATGTTTGTCGAAGCTGAATTCAACAAATTAATTGGGGTTGAGGGCGTGTATATGCAACAATGCAGGACGATAATCAGTTATGTGTTGAATCGGAACACTTCATCCACATTATTTCGTAAAATAATAATGTGAGTAATGTAGGTACAACGACTACTGTGTTCAAGATAAAAAACAAATTTAAAAAATACAAAAACAGACAAAATGCTAAAAACCACCGCGAGATAACTATGTTGCTGTAGATGGAGGGTGAAAACCCAATGAGTTATCTCATGTGGAAATCACCTAAATGATATCAGCATATGGCAGCTACTCCACGTCTTGTTCACAAACACAATATTAGGAATTTTATTCTGTAACACTAGTTTTAACTAAGTTGTTTTTGGTTGATCAATACTAATGGGATTTCTGTTTGAGATCGTTGAGTTTTATATGGTTACCTATAGTACATGGTTATAAAGTGATCTAAACTGACAAAGTACACATTAATGTGTACAGCTATGAAATACAAGGTTTGTGATGGCCAGTGGTATTTCCCAGTCGTTGAAACCGAGGCCCTACAATGGGTCGAACTTATTTATTTATTTTAACACATAGATATTGGTACAAGGAGGCACCAAATACATATGTGCCACACAAATCTCATTCGATATGTGTGAGGGCTGTCTGCAATTTCTCTTGAGCTAGAAGCTGGTTCGTTTTCTGATATTAGGTTATTCCTGATGCTATTCGGCATACAACTACTGCCAGAGAAGTCTTACTCATTACCTCGCGACATTACTGTTGTTTAAGAAATCGAAACGATGAAAAGCGAATGTCCGACTCTTTAAGCGGGTTGGCGGATATAGAGCATTCACTTCGGGAAGTTGGAAAACCCTGATTCCAAACCACTGGTGCACATGGGCTCGAGGTTCCTGATGGAACAAATGGCGTACGAACCTATTGTTGGTCACCAGCTATCATGAGACTGGATCTCCTGACGTTGCTCCACTACGTTGTGGATTAGACCTTTATGTGAATGTCTTGGAGTGACCCCTTAAGAAAACCATCTTCGGTTTGGGCATCTGGATAGTATTCCAAGCCTCACATAAATCGAATGATTTATGTAGCACATATCTATTTACTGCCTCCTTACACTGTTTGGGTTTAAATAATAATAATAATAAATAAATAAAAACGGCTTGTAGATGACCTACAAACCTAACTAGAGAACTAGATAAATAATCGTTTATAATTGCAGAACCTCCCGATTTCAAGGTTTAATAGGATCTTACGGAACGTTTTCGTTTGACTAACTTTCTCAATAAGACAGACTGCGGCTGTTCAAAATAGTGATGTCTGTCTAGTATAAACAGGTTTAGCAAGGAATTTATAATGCCTTACTAAGAACTTATGCACAAATATTAGGGGCTACAAATATCATTCATGACAGGGATGTTAATACCTTATGTCTATTAATTGTCAAGACTTCAAATTTTCGAACCTTTAGCAGACGTAACTGCCTGGGAGATAATAAGTAATGACGTCCAAGAAATTCAACCCCAAGCTAATTATGATTATGCAGTTCGTTATTTATCCCCAAAGTTGAAAGAGGAATCGCAATGTGCTAATATACATCGGTAACAGGGATTCACTAGTACTCTACCCACGGAATAACTTTTCCACAAACCCAACGCAAAACTAGCGATAGATAATCTGAAGATGTGATTTGAAAAGCACTCATTGCTAATGAAGAGTTTTGAGAGTTACAGCAACTTGCCAGAGCCTTCGAGTGCTCTGATAATATCTCGACTTTTATATCTCATTAACATGAACTACCTGCAATGCCAGCGTGTCATAGTGCAGGCACTAATCTTGATGTCCACTAGTAACCAGTACACTTTTGAAAGTACATACCTTTCGCGCATACAGGAACACGAAAACGTAGTAGTAACAGTAAGTCGTGACTTAAAAACAACCATGCACTGCAACACAGCAACCGCTAAAGTTCCCGAGCATTACGGCCACTTCGATGAGCATTTCAAAGCTTTAACGAGAGGATTTTTCGAAGGATATATATCATCTATGTAAAACCATAACTAAAAAACTGTATCCAAACATGTGACCCATGTCTTAATAAGGATAATAACACATTAGGGCGTGTGGGAACAAAGGTAGTGGAAATACTATTTATTTGAACACATAAATATTGGTACAAGAGATCGCCAATATATATGCGCCACACAAAACAATGAAAATTCGAAGAGAGATAGAAAAAAAACTAAGGTGCACAAAAGAAAAAGAGAACGATAACGAAGAGATTGGTGGAAATTCTAACAACTTCCCTTATGATGAGCTCTCACAACGCCTGAAACTTATCCCCGTATATTATTGTAGAAGGCAGAGTGACATTGTATAAGAATTACGAACCACCAATAATGATTAAGGCATCAAAATATTTAACGTTTTTGCTTCCCGAGAACTAATCATCTCCAAGACCACAACAAGGACTCGAAAACCGAAATCTAACAAACTCAGAATGAGGTTTTGTTTCCCTATAGAGCAGCAAATGACTGAAAAGCCTTAACCAAACAAGTGGCATCAGGCCCATCAACAAGTATTCATGAGAAGAAGCTGGATCTTTACTGGAAAACAGGCTACAAGGATTAACAAACGTTCAGCGACCTACTATCCCTAATGCTGAAGAATGTACGAAGTTACTAAAAAAACGTTTCGAACAATAACACGACGAGTAAGAAACGTTTTCACTAAAAACGACAAATTTCGACAACGTCGAGGAACACAGCACTCACCATTATCGCGTGAAATATCAAAAAGAGCGCTGCGTGCAAATGGCCATTCTGACTGTTCAATTCAATGTTTTATCGGTCAATGGAATATTGTTTTTTCAAATTCAATTAAGTAACTATTGGCAACGATACCACCGGACATTCGAAACAATGGAAGGCAAAGTTAGCAAAATCGGTTTAGAAGTCCCACTCTGCAATTATGTAGCAAGCGATAAGATCTGGTAGGTTTTGGCAGTTGCCTAATGTTTTGAAGGCGCGATAACTGCGTTAAGGAGGCGAGCGCATCTAAAGCATGGTCCAAGAATTGGAGCTTCCTTACTTTAACCCCCCGGGAGCTTCTAAAAGATGAAATCCACGAGCTGATTGATCCAAACAGAAAACCGGTTGAAATCCCGCAGTATTTGAGAGTTGCTGAAGCAGTACCTATCTCAGCCTACATAAAAGTGGAACCGTCACCGAAGCCCATCCCACAAACAACAAGTAGAATGATTGGATGGAGATCTGGACTACCCCAGTATAAACTAGACAAATATGAAGTAGCGAGAAGACCTCAAGGCTCGCTTCTTAAGCGGTTCAACTGGCCAATAGAAGCTTTATATTGATGTTAAAATTGACTGAGGTAGAACATTGGAAGGGCCAGTCTCATAAGTCCCTGAGAGAGACATGTAAAAAAACTGTCCTTCGTACGTAAAAATACCATGCTTCCACTTTTCCTATAGTTCAAACTCGACACTGAAGATCAATAAAAATAATACTGCTTCTATGAAAGATTTTTGATGTTTCTAGGATGTGGGGACCTCGTCTTGTAAAATAAATCATTGAAGTCCGACACAAAAGCTTAAGTCAAACTGTTTTCTGGGCTACAATTTTTAGTTAATTACAAGATAAATTATAGACCGACTGACCTATATTTTCTATGCGGAATATTACAATCTAAATGGTAATTAGAAACTTATTTTCATTTTGAGTGAGAAAGAGCAACACACATCGTTCAATTATTGACGAAGTATTCCATACATTGAAAATAGAGTAAAAGCATGCAGTTTAACCAGAAGAAAGCTCATAAACTTTCAAAACGTTTATTTACTCCAAACTTTATGTGATATATCAATCCTGTATTTAATATGAACACCAACTACCTGTACTCTATAATAAGCTTTATTTAATAAACATATAATATGTATCCTAATACAGTATAAAACCCTTAGACTGTCTCGAGAATAAACCTGAATACAAAGACACCCACCGCAGCTTAAATCCTGAGTATAAATCAAAATTTAATGAAGCACAGTAAAAAGAGGATGCATCAAAGAAATCTTACATCTTTATGCCTCATTTGTTATGAGTAAATATTAGATTTCGCAGTTAATGTTCGAAGATGATATACTGGCCACTTTGAAAAAATGGAATCTCATGACTTTATTGACAACACTGATTCCAGCTGAAGTACGCCAACATCATAAGCTTGCTAGATATTTCGAAATACAAACCCAACGACTTATCCTTAGACCAAAACAAACAGAAACATTTAATTGCTTATATGTTATATCAAATAAGTAAAATTGTGTCAGACGTTTCGGTAGTTATACAAGAAACTACTTCAGATACTTCAATTGGACACATAAACCATGCTTCTCAAAATTCTCTTACATAAAGAATAAGTATCTGTTGATATGGGTTTACATATACAAAGATACTATGTGACATGCATAATTCCATTTTCATTATTGACTAAGTGATAAATGGAATCGCTTTTATGTTTGAATAGTGTATTCTATGCCATTCAAAACCGAAATAATTAATATGCATAATGAAGGAGCATAAGGATAATTGATCTCTGGAAGTTATCCATAGGGTTCAACTTTAGTGAGAGTAGGGCAGTTGTAGCAGATAATCATTATTTTGAATATTATTCCTATATAGTACAATTAGATTAATTAGTACACGAGAAACCCTCTTGTCCAACAACACCCCGGCTAACTACAACACATGTATATGACAAAGAAATACGTAGTTTGAAGGATATATTTACATGATAATTTATGTCAATCTGTAAAATACTATCAGCTCTTTTAAACTTTTTTCGAAGCACATGAAATGATCGGTTTAGGTCGTGTTTTAAACAATAATTTACGCCGAATAACAGAAACGATATCATACTGTAAGCTTCCAGATGTGGTGTTTCTTTTTGTGACAAGCATAGGCTTTTCAAGAGCAACTACTTTCCCGAAAAGTACATGATGGCCAATAAGGAGAACTGGATCGCCATTCTATAAAATGAATATTAAAAAGGATAGAAAGAAACAATTAACTAACCTCTTGTGAAAAATGCAGATCGCCTAAATTTTTCCCTGCTAATGGACTATTTGTTTTACTCAAAACATCACCTTGTAACTCAATCATTAGCCACTCGCTCACTTCTCCACTAGAAAATAATACTATAAAAAGACTTGTATGATTTACTTTGGCCCATGGATAGGTATAATCATATTCGACAGAAAACTTGATGGTTCCTGAAACACATAATTTAATCGATTAAAAAAGTAGTAGTCAGGGGATTTATAACTGAAAATTCTTAATAAATCCCTTAAAACACATTCGTATTATAAAACTCTACTGCAACTTAGAATTGATACATAGTATGTGAAGGTGCAGTTATTCCAACTAAACATCGATCGTATTTTTTATTTATTATTTATTTGAACACATAAATATTGGTACAAGAGAGCGCCAATATATATGCGCCACACAAAACAATGAAAATTCGAAGAGAGATAGAAAACAAAAAAAAAACTAAGGAGCACAAAAGAAAAAGAGAACGATAACGAAGAGATTGGTGTAAGGTAGTGTGGTCGTAACGATGGAACGGAAAGGTACAATCAGAAGAAATCTTTCAAGTAAGGGAGACACAACCACTTTTTATGAAGAAAGTAAAAGAAGGTTACAGCAGGATCGCCACTGGCTTCTATTCTGAGCCATATCTGATAACGTCTCTAGCCACTGTGTAGCACCATCTCTCAGACCCCAACCAGGGAGTCGTGAAGGACCGACAGAAGCCAGTCCTTTGCAGCTTTCTTTCATGACACGACACCATGTCATGCACTGACCACCTCTCCGCTTTTTCCAACCAGTCCCAGAGTCGGCAAATAATGCACGACGTGGGATTCTCTGGGACGACATTCGTAGAACATGTCCAAGCCACCGAAGTCGGTGTTTCAAGATGGTGACACCAATTGAATTATCATCTCTGTGCCCAAACGCACGATACCGAATCTCTGCATTACTGACATGGTGTTGCCACTGAATGTCAGCAATCCTTCGGAGACAGCGATGATCGAACACAGAGAGTCGTCTAACATCGATCGTGAAACAACGTAACACCTTAGTGGTTAAAGTTGACACAATCTAGAGTGCATTGACAGGTTAGCAAAAATTAAACTGATACTAAATATTCTTACGATGATTTTAAGAGTAGTCGTGAGCCAAGAAATTCAACAAGATGCTAATCGAAACCTAGACATGATTTATAGTGAAGTTATTCACAGACTCATGTCCTGACCAAACCACCGTGAGGCTCTTTTTATCTCTTTGAACTAGCTAACGTAGGTCGTAGTGTGACGAACCTTACATATGCTATTTAGTGTATGCCCATAACACCAAGTACTTCGCAATTTAACCGGGTTTATATAGACTCAATAGATATGTTCCCAGTACCTCAGTCAACGAAAACTAGATGGGAATCTGGAATCCATCCTAAAGCTGCTATCAAGTTTTATGCAATCTACGAATAAATTATTAGTATGACTAAATATTTCCCACATGCGATCAGCCAAGATTCTGTCTTTTGAGGGGAAAAAATTAACGAGCGATTGTACCGTTTGGTTCAAAACTTCATAAAGCATTATTAATTTAAGGTAAATACTGAGTACCCTTAAGTAAATGGTGTAATATACTTCAATTAAACGATTTTTGAGTAAGAATTTAAACTCCTAAAAGTCGGGAGGTGAGACCTACTTATGGCTAAAATTTATGAATATAGTGAAATGAAGAACCACTAACAAACATATAGATATAGCTATACAAGATAATAGCTCTCTATGAGGTTTTTAAGATTCAGCCTTTAATAAACCAACCTACAGTATTATTATACACTTCAATATCAGACTACCATACGAGATACAACTAAAGATGTTTGGTGTCACTGATTATTTTTTATCGCCAACCACTAAATGTGAGACCTGTCTCAACTGCTCAAAAAAGTAACCAGACCTGACAACAAGACATCACAAGGACTTTATCGAGGTAAAATAAAGCACGGAAGTCAAAATGATAGTGTCATTAGGAGTCAAAATGTAAGACTGGAGATAGGGTTTAAAAGAAACAAACTAAATCAACAACGAAAACAATAAACCTCGAGATTCGTGGGAGAGTAAAGAAAGAACATAGCTATGACATTAGGGCCTGTGTTGGGCCGTTTCGCCAATCAGACTAACAGTCAACTACTTTAAGGATTGATGATGTATCCGTTTGGCTATTATCAGTCCTCTTTCGATTTGTTACTATGATGTCCAGTCTAATGTGATGAGGTACGCGATGACTAAATATACATGAAAAATCCATGAACGGATAATGACTGGATAGTTAGAGCACCCAGAGTCCAACCACTAAATAGTAGGTTCCAAACTTATAACACCTACTTGGTTTGAGCTGCCAGGTATTCTCACTACCTCTCACATAAAAAACATCTAAGAGCAGAGTAAATATACGTATATTTGATAAGTGAATTCTTAAACACTTTAATCAGTAAACGTTCATGATCTCATGCGTCTATTCCCGACCGTTGTTGCTACCTTGACGTGGTGGTCGGGCTTGCCTATCGTGATGAAGCAACCGAGCTATATTGACTGGAACAACCGTTCCTCAAGGTCCTACCATGTCAGACAGGTCGGTTGAAGAGCGGTAAGACTAAAAGCAACAAACCCAAGGTCCGAAGGCGAAGTCGTACTGCTGACTGTACAGAGGTGTGACAGCAGTAAGGTGTTTTCTTCAGACAACCAGCATGACAGCGATGCTGCCTTCCCACAAGGAGGGGTGGGGTTAGAAATGGTCGACCCTAAAAATGCACACCTCACCTTACCTCACGGATTTCCGTCTCCGGCGGTAAGGCTCTTTGAAGAACGGAGCTAACACGTCAAAAACCTTTCACAAAAAGGCCGTGCGCGACCGGCCTCAAGCAGTTGTCCCTTGGGCACTGCGGTCACGCTCTCAGGTCGCTGAGACTGCCTCTAATCCAATTTCCTTTTCAGGTACCTCCAGAAGAACCCTTCCACGGTGTGGGCAACCGGGAAGTGATAACCACCCTCATACCTCTAACAGCACCCAAGACCACTGTATTCATAATCAACCTTCCTCTTCAATTCCTATTATTCCTCCTACATTAACTTTCAACTCCAAACTTCCTCTTTCGGCTTCCTCCTTAAGTGTCACCATAGCTAACGATTCTAGTGCTCAAAACTCTGTCCCAGGTCTACTGAAACCTCGCTCCAAACTACACATTGGAGCTTTCAACGTATGTCAAATCGGTCAGCAGTCTTCCTTGGCTAAAACCCTAGAGTCTCTTTCCATTGATGTATGCTGTGTCTCCGAAACACGCATACAGGATTCCAGTGTGGTCATTCACTTGACCTCACCTCGGCAAAACGGAAAGCCAACGAGATACACTCTACGTATACCTGGTGACCCTATGGCCAGTTCTCGTGGACTGGCAGGTGTAGGCATAGCACTAAGCATGAGGGCGGAACAAGCACTGCTAGAGTGGATCCCCGTCAACAGTCGTCTACATGCTGTTCAGCTAAACGGCTCCGTAAGAACTCGGAAGGATAGGGACACACGTCGTTGCCTTTTCGTCGTTTCAGCCTACGCTCCCACTGACTGCAGCTCAGACGATGTGAAAGATGAATTTTACAGAAAGCTTTCTGAACTTCTTCAGAAAGCTAAACGCTCAGACATAGTACTCGTAGGGGGTGACTTTAATGCTCAGATAGGTAGCTTAAACCAAACAGAAAGGCTTTTAGGTGGATATTTTAGCATTCCGGCACAGCGAACAAATAATGGTGACCGTCTGCTGCAACTGTGCTCAGACAATCGTTTATTTTTAGTAAACACAAATTTTAAGCATAAGGAGAGATCGTCTAACATGGCGACCCCCTACACCAAACCAACGATGGACTCAAATAGACTATATTGCCATCAGTCATCGTTGGAGAGGGTTGGTAGAAGATTTTCGCTCATTCTGGAGTACCTGCTTGGACTCCGACCACGCCCTAATACGGGCACGCATCTGCTTGCGCCTCACTGGACGCAAAAAAGCCACATTAAAAAGACCCATTAGAACTGAGTTGAGTAACGAAAAAACCAAAAATAGGTTCCAAGAACAACTGAGTTCACAATTAGGTAGTTCTGAAGACGAGGCTGATCCAGATGTTGCTTGGAAAAACATACAAGCAGCTGTGGAAACAGCAGTGACATCTATTAGCGACTTAAACCACAGAGTTACAAAGAACCAGTGGATTTCTTCAAAGTCTATCACACTGATGGATTCTCGCAAACTCGTCCCATCAGGTTCCGAACATGATGATGAGCGACAACAAATCAGACGTAGGTTAAGAAAAAAGTCTAAGAAACGACCGTGAGCAGTGGTGGGCAACGAAAGCAAAAGAGATGGAAAAGGCGGCGGCTATAGGGAACACAAGACAGCTCTACAGACTAATAAAAGAAACTGGAACTAATAAGTCAAGTGTAAGTGAGATTATTTCGGAAAAAGACGATACTCTCATCTACTCCCAGTCCACACGTTTAGAACGATGGGCGGAACACTTTAGGGAACAGTTCAGCTGGTCTTCAGCGACCCTACAACTATCGTCCATTCCCAGACAGTGTGAATGGAACATTGAAGTAGGTCCCCCAACTCTAGCTGAAGTTCAAAAGGCTATAGTTAATCTGAAACGAGGAAGGGTAGCTGGTCCAGTTGGATTGGCTCTAGAAGTCTTTGAGGATGGTGGTCTAATTTTAGCGATTAGGTTGACTAATATTTTAGCTAAAATCTGAGAGTTGGATGTTATCCCATCTGACTGGTCACAATCACTTATCGTCCCAATATATAAGAAGGGGTCAAAATCATCCTGTGATAACCATAGAGGGATTAGTTTGACTAACATGGCATCTAAAATACTAGCCTCGATAATTATCAAACACCTAACTAAGACTCGTGAACTGCAAACACGAGAGAACCAAGCTGGCTTCAGACCTGGTCGTGGCTGCATCGACCACATATTCACCATTCGTCAGGTTCTAGAACACAGGCATACTTATCGGCGTCCGATAATGGTGGTCTTTCTCAACTTAAAAGCAGCATTTGACTCTGTAGATCGCGAGATCCTGTGGCAGTGTTTGTCATTAAAAGGCGTACCCCAGAAGTACATAAACCTTGTCAAGGCTCTTTACTCGAACACTACTAGTCGAGTCAGAGCTTATGGCGAACTGTCATCTACTTTTGCAACCTCAAGTGGTGTCCGTCAAGGCTGTCCACTTTCCCCATTTTTGTTTAACTTCATCATAGATCTACTGATGGAAATAACATTCTCGTCTACTGAATTCTCGGGTATTGATCTCCATCCAGTAGGTCCACTTATCGACTTAGAATACACAGATGACATAGTCCTGTTTGGTGAAGACGCTGATAAAATACAGTCTTTTGGTAGCACTAAGCAACAATGCCAGAATGTTTGGAATGCGCTTCTCTCCCTTTAAATCCAAGTTGTTGCTTCAGGACTGGCCTGCGTCAACACCTGAACTAAGGATAGGGAGTGAAGTAGTCGAACGCGTTGACAACTTCACTTATCTTGGAAGTCTGATCAGCCCTAATGGGTTGGCATCGGACGAAATCTCAGCACGGATTCGAAATGCTCTTTTGACTTTTGCCAACTTACGTCACCTTTGGCGAAGGCGAGATATCCGTCTATCAATAAAAGGACGAGTATACTGCGTGGCAGTTCGTTCTGTTTTACTTTATGGCAGCGAAACATGGCCTTTAAGAATAGAAGACACTCGTAAGCTACTAGTATTTGACCACAGATGCCTTAGAAATATCGCTCACATCTGCTGGGATAAACGGGTAAGTAATAGTGAGGTTCGACGCAGGGTATTAGGAAATGATGGTAAATCAGTTGATGAGGTTATGAATCTTCATCGATTGAGATGGTTGGGCCACGTGTTACGTATGCCTGAATACCGATTACCACGACGTGCAATGCTATCCGGTATTGGAGATGGTTGGAAGAAAGTTAGGGGTGGCCAAACCAAAACGTGGCATCAGTGCTTGCAGTCACTAACTTCTAGTCTGAGCCATGTTGGTAGATGCAGACTACTTGGTTGGGGTCCGCGTGACTATCGTAACCAATGGTTGGAGACTCTTGGTGACATGGCTCAGAATCGATCACAATGGCGTCGGTGTATACACTCCCTGTCTTCCCTTAAACTATGAGATTAAAATCGCTTCATATCTTTCTTTCTACGAACCAATTCTTTCTTCTTGTACTATATCTCTATATGCAATCTTTCTCTTATATATTACCACCTTTTACCTAACCACTGTTATGAATCTGGTGTTCATCTTGTTGTGTTGATGCGGTATGGCAACCTGGACCGACGCACATATGTGCCTGGTCCTACGTTGTAGCTGACTGACTGCGTCAATTCATCATATTTCGTAATTTACATTAGCACGAGATGATCAGTGGTTACATTTGCCGTGAAATATCTCAAAATCATATCAACAATTTAAGAAAACGAATGTAGGTATTCTACTTTTAGAAGTAATGTTTTGAATTCTGTCAGAAACAGCCCGTTTGAATTTACTTACCTAGTTCATTGACTACATTTTTCTGACAAGTAATTTCAACTTTAGATTATAGATAAGGTTTTAAGGGAGGCCTCTTCATAATTCAAATAGATAGACATAAACAACATGAGATTTACCACAAACGATTGTTCACCACTGTTGAAAATTGAAATAAATACACCTTAAAGAAACTAACAAATAAATGAATATTCAATTCTTCTGGGACATCAACTTTCTTGTCTATTGTATGAGGTAGCATGTCATCATGCCTGTTTGCTGAACAGTTTTTTACAAGCAATAAACATCCGATTTTTAGTTTATTTATTTTAACACATAGATATTGGTACAAAGAGGTACAAAATACATATGCGCCACACATATCCCATTCGATATATGTGTGAGGGCTGTAATACCGCCCAAACGTCCAAACCGAAGCAGGTAGTCTTCTTAGGGGGCCAAACTCGGAGCCTACGACATGGTTTGATCCACAAGACAGTGGAGCAACGTAAGGAGATGCAGTCCCGTGGTAGCCGAAGACCAACGATTGGTTCATACGCTATTTGTTTCATCAGGATCCTCGAGCCCATGTGCACCATTGGTTTAGAATCAAGGTTTTCCAACTCCCCTAGGTGTACTCTCCATATCCACCAACCCGGTTAAAGCGCTGGACATTCGCTTTTCGTCTTCTCAATTTCATAGACAACACTTCCGCCACGATAAGGCAGTGAGTAGGACTTCCCTCGCAGAGGCTATATACGCGTGGCCATGTGAGAGAATTTCGAGAGGGACAGCGGACTCCCCCCACTCTCGGCCGTACCAGGGCATTTGGGGGCTCAAGTACTGACCGGGCCCAACGTTGCTTAACTGCGGTGATCGGACGAGAACCGGTGCTTTCAGCATGGTATGGTCGTGAAAGTATCCTTGCGTATCGATAGCGTTAACCACAAGTTTCTTGTGCTACACAACCAATTTTGAGGAAGATGTATATATTTCTCCCAAAGTTTGGCTTTTTAGGTTTTTGTGACTTCGGATGATGTGTTTTTCAATTCGATTTCTCTTATCTACAGAACTAACAAATCATCCATTCACCCCTCATGAGCAGTAGAAAATCTTACAGTGTTATGGTACAAAACTTCTCAATGTAACTTCAAAGTTCTTTCTCCAGTTACCTTACACTCGGTCATTTCAGTTACTGAGTAATGATAGTTTACATGAATTCACCTAAATGTATAAATCGATTTATACATTGATCAATAAATATATGTGCACGATTCAGAACGTGTGTTTCTATAACCTTTACACAAGTGTTATTTTTTCCCGAGATTCTGATTTAAAGTTCGATTCGTTTAGGAACAAAGCTTTTATTGATGTTCCAGGTTTTTAAAAAGATATTTTATACAGTATTTACGAAGTTTGGGTTATATAAATGTTTTACGTAAAGAAGATCGAGGCTTTAATGTATATTAACTTCCTTGATGTCTGTATTGTTTGATTGCACTTGGTTAGTTAAGTATATGAATAAGTAGTTTTTCAATTTAGTTTAGTGAAGAACGTCATTTTTAGAGAACGCTATTGCTAACGATTAAGCAGTAGTTCATTTTAGCATACGTTCGGTTTTGGTGTTGTGTTTAACTTCATGAGGACATATATAATATGTTTTTGAACATGTATCATTTTTAACACTGTCGATTGCAGTTGTATGGTTTGTCATGGAAGCGAAGGCGAACATATGAGACATTTGGGGTCACGTAACAGGTGAAACATAAAGCGAACATTAGGAATTTAAGCCCAACGTAGAGAAGTTGGCGTATATTTGGGCGAAAAGTAGATAGGCCAATGGACATTTAGGCGAAAATAGCCCATTTAGCGACATTCGAAACACTGAATGACAAAAAGAGAAACCTTCATTATTCCAACAAAAAAGGTGAAAAACCAGACATTCTAACGCAGTTCCCTATTAGTTTCATGAGTATTTCCTCTTTGTTCGCCCTTATTTCTCTTTTATTGTTTGCTTGGGAAGGGTTTAAATACGTCACCCAACAAAATTGATACAAAAATAAACCTTGTACACAATGCAGATTAAAATCAAGGGTACACTATCAGGAAGCAATGAAACTGAATCCAAAGTGAAATAATTTACGCAAATATCTATCAAAGAAGTTACCGTACAGGCAAAAGTAGAGGGAAGTACCGTTTATATTTGTAATACCACTTACATAGTACAGTTGGTCAATTTCGAGTTTCCTATATCCAATATCTTAGTTAGGCTTGTATAAACTGGATGATCTTTTGTGCTCGCCCTATTTTCAATGTGTAGTATATTGCACAAATGTTAATCAGTTTATTAGTTATGTCTCTGTCACTATACGCGCTATTTAAAAAGGACAGTGGTAATTTTCCTCGCTGAGTAAATTCTATTGTTTTTTATCGTTCACTACGTATCAGAACTACTGTTTACACTTTAATGGAATTCATTTCAGTTAAAGTATTTCATCAGAGCATAGCTTTTGTTTCTAAATTGGTTTACCGTCGATTCTTTCAAGTACTTTGTTTTCGATTGTATTCGATAATACTTTTACTTCTAACAATTTATACTTCGCTACTCTTTTTGGTCATAGATCATTTTTGTCTCCATGCACTATTTAATCCACCTTTTCAGAAAAAAGCTATCGTCAACGTCCTGGCTGTCGATATCCGGTGGCATGCAGTGCAATGAGTATGAAGATGACACAGGTATTCAGTGTTTGAAAACGCTTTTACCAGCAACACCTTCTAATATAATTCGTACCCACAGAGCGAAATCAAAAGACAGAGTCGAGGGGATCGGAAAAGTGTATTTGGCGATTACCAATATATCAGAATTCTTTGATCTAATCTGGCTAGCGACTGCGGTAGATGTTGAGCACAGCGTTACCACACGTGATCTGGTGCGGAGGCATGACCGAGCTCCTTCAGCTAGATGAGTCCACTAAAACATATGGTCAGCATGCAATGTCGAAAACTTACAGATCTATTTATTTTGGGGATTTATTTACCGCTACAGATCACTCCCTCCCCCTAGTGGGTCAGTGATGACGCTAAGACGTGGCCAGCCAGAAGTTTAAACCCAACGAGTCTGTCGTTGGTAAACACTCTTCTGATAGCTTACTAAGTTTAGCAGCGTCTGGTCGTCTTTCCTTACTACATGGGACCGAGATACAACATAGTAGAAAAAGAAAATGTACAATGAAAATTTCAGCTCCTCGTAAACTGCATCGTTCTTTTCCAGCCGTCCTGGAAAAGAAAAAAGAAAATGTAAGTGCATGTTGAAATACACTCATATGTGCGTAAAAACGCGATGTCGACGAAAAGAAAATGGAAAATAAACTCAAGCACACTTAATAGCATTTTAAGAAATTTTGTTTTTTTTGTTCGTTTTTTAAAAAATAAAAATAAAAATATATAAGCACATTTAAATTGTTTTAAAACAAATATTATATATCGCAAGAAGAAAGATCGAGATAATATCAAATGTCGAGTAGTGCCTTACGTGCAGTAGTCGTTTAAATGTTCTGAAAACCTTATTCTTCTTCCAGATCGTGTCGTTATAAGTTTATTTTCAGACACATTCAGAGTGTCATCGCTAGTGTTGGTTGTTGAAAGTGGTAACGTTTTTTCACGTGGTTTAGGAATTCTTCGAGCTAATGAAGAACATTCAATCCCTCATTTCAAACTCATCTCACACCCGCGAGGGTTACGACGACTTTATCCGAGATACCCTCACCCATTTTAACTTAGTAGGCCACTTGCTTAATATATGTCTTATCAACGCTCGGTCGATCTGCAAAAAAAGACGGATTTAGCACTATTTGTATCCATATATCAACCATCAGTTATTATGATATCTGAAGCATGGACTAACAGTAATATTTCCGACCAAAGTATATCTTTTGATAACTATTTCCTATATAGAAGCGACAGATTGAATGGACGAGGCGGAGGATGCCTTATTTACGCTCACTCTAGCCTAAACTCACTACTATGTGATATGCCTGAACTAAACAAATTGAAGGATTCGGTGTGGATTGTATTAAAGCCGTCGAATTCCGTTACCTTACTGCTCGGCTGTGTTTATCGTCAACCTAACGCATCAATAGATGATATAGCAGTATTATCAGAGGTATTCACACTAGCATCATCCCTCTCATTCACAGGCAAGCTCATTTGTGGTGACTTCAATATGCCCGAAATTTCTTGGCTGCCAGTCAAAGCGCCGAGACGTTATGAATCATTTATTGAATGTCTAGAACTCGGACAATAGACTCAGTATGTCGATAGCCCTACCAGACATCAAAACATCTTGAACTTAGTCTTTACCAGTGGCCTCATCCCCAATACTTTGTATATTGGAAAAAAGTTCCCAGGTAGTGATCATAACATTGCCATATGCAGCCTTAATGTAAAAACCACAACCGATAGCAGTAAAACCGTAACACTTCGTAGAAACTATCGCAAGGTTGATTGGAATAACTTCCACAATTACCTAAGAAGCACTGATTGGGGAACTTTCTTTACCTCAAACAATACCGACACATTAACCAATATATTTTGTCACAACATCAAAAGTATCATCAACAATATCGCACCTTTAGAATACTGTAAGCCTGCGTTCTCCAAAGATCTGTATATACCGGTCAGTACAAAAAGACGTCTTCAAAGACATTGTACTCACTTCCACAACTTAAATAACTTTTCCTCTTTAGTAACGATGATAGAAATACTTGTCCGAACAGAAGCAATAAGTAAACATGAAGCAAACGCACAGGGAAAACGTGCAGTTGAACTTAATAATAACTCCTCTGCACTCACCATACTGCTCCAAAATAAACTAAAACGCTCTAAATCGAGAGAGAGAGTATATTCATTAAAGGCAAACAAGTATACGAAGATCCCAAACTTGTCACAGAATTATTTAGTGAACATTTTTGTTTCTCACTAACTAACGAAAAACCATTTAATGATTCCGAACCAATCTCAGTAACTCCCTGTGAAATCACTAATGTAAAATTCAATGTACAAAATATCTCCAAGGCAATCAGTACATTGAAACACTCCTACACTGATGGACCAGATGGTATTCCATCTAGCATGCTAAAAGGTGGAGGTGATGATATGTGTGTTTTGCTTCTCAAACTATTCGCGATATCACTCTCTTCAGCGTGTTCCCCCACTGCCTGGAAAACTACACATATCATTCCCAAAATCAAAACAGGACCTGAAGCAAACGTTGAAAATTACCGGCCTATAAACATAACTTCAGTGGTATCCAGAGTGATGGAAAAAGGCCGCTGTAGTCTAACATCTACTAACTAATAATCTCATCTCGACCTCCCAGTATGGATTTCTTAGGTCCAGATCATGCGATACATGCCTAGTAGACTACCTGAATGATATAACTCCGAAACGAGACAGCGGACTCCTTGTTTCAGTCCTATTCCCAGACTTTAAGAAAGCCTTTGATAAGGTCCCACACAAAAGGCTACTCGTGAAACTAAAGTCCTTCAGAATACACAATCCACTGTACTCATGGTTTGCTTCGTTCTTAACAGAACGTAAACAGATGGTAAAGTACAATGACTGTCTCTCGTCTCCTAGACCAATCACCAGTGGAGTCATCCAGGGAAGCGTATTAGGTCCACTTTTGTTTCTTATGTATATAAACGATATATGTGACACCATAGAATTCGGGAAACCATACTTATATGCTGATGATCTCAAAATAGTATACAGCTATAAGCCTCAGACACTAAGCGAAAGTGCATCCCAGATTCAAAAGGACCTCAATAGCTTAACTATCTGGAGTGAAAAATGGCAATTACCATTTAACGTCAACAAGTGCGGGATCGTGCACTTTGGAAAGCATCCCTATAAACCGCTCTAGAATTTATGGTCTACTATGATATTAGTACTGCTCTAATAATAGACCTAATCCTAAATCTGTAGATTTGTCATGATATGACAGCCTAATCTATAAGATCTTACGTGAAAGTCACACCATCGACTACACCAACTCACTGTATCGTATCAATTACCAATACATGATGTAGAACAAGCTTAGGCTAGAGAAAGAACAATATATTTAATATGAATAGAAGATATAAGGTAACATTCAGCAGAGACCACGCCTGCATGGCCGAGCCATGCCGTTCGATCAACTCTAGTCTATTCAATTCATTGTTCGCGCCTTCTCCATCGTTCGGGATTTCTTCGCGTTAAATATTGAATACCTATTTTCCGAGTAATCTCGCATTCAGCTTTGAGGATAGTGTGGATATGGTTTAATGCCACTACACCGCAAATTCACTTAAATGAATCTAGAGTCCAAACACAGTACGCGATTTAGGAATTAATTACACAGGAAGCCTGAACTTTGAAGAACATGCCTCCTCTATTATTTCTAAACCTAGACTGCTAATTGGTTTTATAATGAAAAACGTTTTCACAACAGAGGGTAAACTCTCTACAAAATATGTGTACGACCCTCCCTTGAATACTGCTCTTTTGCCTTCTCTAATATGAATATCACAGACAAGATAAGAGTAGATTTTCAAAGACGTTTCACACGTCAACTACTAGGATTTAACTCGAAACTTGATTACACAGATAGATGTAAGCACCTCTCTTTAGAACCTTTATGGCACCGTAGGCTAAAGAACAATTTAATATCTCTCTACAAAGCGTTATATGGGCTCTACTTTCTAACCTCCTGCCTGACTATCACCCACAACCCAGCCTATAGACTCAGAAATAACGCATATACACTACTTACCGTAAAACACCAAAAACAAATGCGTTGTAAGTTTCTTACAGTACGGTATAGTTTATTGTGGAACAGGCTGCCAATGTCTACCCGTAACTGTGATACGTCTACTAGATTTAAAAAGCTAAATACCCTATTTCTACACTCTAAAGAGCTACAACATTTCCTTGAACTTCCGCCCACCAATGAGGCACTTTATTACGGACCGCCTAGTATCTAGAAAGAACAAGATTATAACATGTCCGACTGTTACTAATATGAATATAACCAAATCACAGAATATATGGCTTATCCTTTCCTATTATTCATTGTTTATTAATCATGACTTCATGCTCCCAACCCTAGCTTTCAGTTCCCAAATCTCTACAGGTTAAAAGTACATTATTCTTCCTAAAAGTCATGCCTTTTTTTC